CAATGTGATTTATTTACAATGTGAGAAAAGGAACCAAAACGGGAGTGTCAACACTTCAGGGTGAGCCAAGGCCAAAAAACAACAATAAACAAAACAAATCTACACAAATCCTGCACCCCTGACCTTACCAAAACAAAGTCAAAAATAAAGACAGAGTCTGACCTCCTTAACTAAGTCAAAACAGGAGAAAACGGGTGATCAAAAGAAACGGCAGCTCACCCCTACCCACTCCACTTCCACAACTTTTAAGCGGCACTGCAGCCAGCGGCTGCCACAGGACCACTGAGGAGAAACGAGGACCTCTCCCGCTGTAGCACTCCAGCCTCCTTTTAATGGGCGGGTCCTCCAGCTGGAACCAGTCACGTCGGGGCAGTGTATCCACACACCAATCGGAGCAGGGCCCTGGCACAGCTAAATTAACATAAAAAGATACATCACCTGCACAAAACAAACACATGAACATGCAAGTTCATAACAATATTAAGACAAAATCAAAAATCAGACAAAAACCATAAATCCAGAGTATAAAAAAGAAAAAAGTTATATTTTTCACTGTAACAAACACAAACATTAACAAATCATTTTCATAACCTGAAATGCAAATATAAATGGTCCATTTTTAAAACCTATGCACAAGTTTTGCAAACCACAAAGTTATTTGTAGCTATGTACCTAAAATGCAGCCAAGACATTTTTTAAATAACCATTTCAAACTATTTACAGAACAGTCAGACATTCTGCATCAAATAAGATGCCACACAAATTATTTGTTTCACTCCAAAAAATTATTTCTGTTCACTATAAGATAAAGGAGCCATTACTAGCCTAATACCTGTAGACGGTGTATCACTCCTGTTTTTCACCTGGTGGCTTTTTGGCAGCAAGTGCGACATTCAGCAGTTGCCTCATTGTTCTAACATACAAAAAAACAAAACAAAACTATTGGTTACAATACACACTAACTATACAACACACTAGCTACACACTCCAAACAAGCTAAAAGTCACAAATCTCTCACATCTCCATCTCTCATTACTCCAAAAACTTCCCCCCTCTTCAATGAAATGCCACATGTTGCCATACCATAGTTTGATTGTTTGGCATGGTAAATCTTTCCACCAATAGGAATGGGTGGGGTTTTTTTGTGTGTTTTTGCTTGCAAGCAGAGAGTGGTTTAAAGTGCTTTCCTTAGAAAATGCTGTTTTCACCGTTTCTTCCTGCAGTAGACATAGCGATAGTATTCAGGAAAAATATGTGTATATTTTTTTCATCATAACTCTGGTTTTATGTGGCCTATCGACGTAATTTAAAAACAGGTATATAGTTGACATAGCATTGTGTTGCTATATGATCTTAAATTGGTCATGTGATTGGTTTACCATGGCTACTTCTTCCTCAGCCAATCAGCGTGGGGGGAGTGAATCAAACCGGAGCCCTTAGAGCTGGAGGGTAGTGCAGATTGTACAGAGTTGGCTAAAAAAAACAGACTCCAGCTACTTATTTTATTGCCAGACCAGACCATATGGAGGTTATGTTTTTCCAGCCAGGAATAACCTAAGATGAGGGGTTTGTCAGGAGAGAAGAAGGTGAAGATGGAGATGGATTCGCAGTGGCAGACGAGACTAAACAAATGGGCTTAGTCCACTGCATAATATTGGCAAACACCAGTTTGTGCAGTGGTAGGAATGGAAGGTTCCATGGAGTCAGAGGCCTACATGGTTGAGTAATTTGTAATCAATGAGGTTCTGTTCAGCACGGGATCAAGGAGAGCAGAAACAAACCCAAGCACGGAAATTCTCTCTCTCCTCTGGAGTCAAGCACAAATGCTCGATTTGCATGTGCTGCAGCTCCAAAGAGGAACAGGAGGACACTGAAACTGAAACAATAGCTGGAGATGAGATAGTTGGGGCAGATGGGCTAAAAGAATTCTCCCAAGGTCTTAGAACTCTCTTCTGCCTCCCTGTCTCCCAGCCAGTTGTTGATTGTGATGGGAGAGAGATTAGCTCCTCAAATATAAAGCCTGGAGAAATACTGTGTAAAGCATAATCTGGCCAGCCTGCCTCAGTGGCATTGGTGTGAAACTCAACTGAAAACTCACCTACTCAGCAGTTTCCCTGGTGGAGACTAAGCAATTCTTTTGGCTGAACTGAATCTCAGACACAGGATGAGCAAATGCGATTCAGGAAAACATCATATGGAGAGGTAGAAATGAACAAAACCTTAACAAGCCTTGGCCCATGACAGTGCTCTTTCCCTTAATAAATTGCTTACATGGAACAGCTTAGTGGCATCACTTGGGAAACATTGTCCTGACTTACAGGAGAATGTTTCGGGTGTGTGAAAAACAGTGTCACATAATACTGTGCCAGAAACCATGAAGTTCGCATTGGGAAATAACTGGGTGGTGGCTTTACGTGAGTCAGACTGGGATTGGGCCATAGCTGGTGGATCCTATGCAGAGGCAAGGGGTTACACTAGAATACATCTCTTGAACTAAAGCGGGTAGTTCCTCCTGCTTATCAATGATAGTTTGCCATTTCTTATCTGACCTGGAGAGCCTGTTTAAAATTATGGTGCGTGTTGGGTCCGCTTGGTTTATTCCT